CTCTCTCTCTCTCTCTCTCTCTCTCTCACACACACACACACACACACACACACACACACACACACACATACACACACACAGAGCATTCTTGTGGTATAAAGTCCTGTGATGCTTGACTCCCAGGCCATACCGACCACAGGAGATATTTGGAGAAGTGAGACTCCCTGGGATTCAACTATAAAGGAAGAGGTTGTCCTGTTGTTCCTGACCCTCTGAAGGGTCTTGGCAGGGCAAGGTTGTGACTGGGCCTCAGGTGGTCGGAGATAGCAGAGGAGTGAGGGATACTTCCTCTGTGCTAGTGATGCATATTAAACCCAAAGTTGCCAGTACCTGGACCATTAAGCTACAGGTGATAGTTGCCGAGTCCAGTAAAGCTGGCACCCCTCCAGGCAATGAACTCCTCCCCCAGCTCTGCCTTTCGCCCCACCCCTTCTCAGGTATGAAGTCATATCACACTTGAATTAGCCAGGAAATATCATTGGCCAGTGCCACACCTCAACTCACAAGCGGTTCCCAAACCCAACAGATCATCAGACTCTCTACACAGACTCCTTGCCTGCGCCAACCCCTGCTTCAACATTGCCCAGGACAAGCCTGGTCTTGGGGCTCTTTTACAAGCTCCCCAAGGGATTCCCAGGCTGGAGAAGGAGGAGGCAGCTCTGGGAGCTGGGAGGTGAGGGGGTCTGGGGAGCCTGATATGACAGAGGGGCAGTTGCAGAGTCCCCAGCCCCTGGTGGACACATGGTGAGCCACAACAGAGCAGCCTGGAGTCAGGGCAAGCTGCTCAATCTCCGGGAGCCTCAGTTTCCTGCTCTGGGATGTGAGGATAACACTGCTGTCTCCCAGGCATGTTAGAGCAGAGATGAAATAAAGCAAGCACCTGGTAGACTACTAAGCACCGCTGCAGTTATTCAATAGGGTCTACAAAGCACCCACTGTGTGCCAGGCACTGACTCGATGAACCAGAAGAGAGGCCCTCCAAATGTACAGGCTGGTGAGAAAACTCGGTAAGGACAGCTCTAGTGCTGTGTGTTTGGATCTTGGTGTTACACAATCATGGAAGGAGACAGAGCAAGATCCTCAGGGATGAACCAATGTCCGTTCCTGGTTCTGTGAGCAGTCCTGGGTCCGAAGGAATCTACATGGGTCAGGCCCTTCCTACTCCCTCTCCCTCCTGCATGGCTGACGTCTGCTGCTGCCAAAGGCTCTCACACCAGTCACGAACAAGGAGTCCTTGAGGGAGCCTAAGGCTCTGTCTAGCTGGGATGTGGGCAAGGGGCAGAACCACCTTGGTTCTTGGTTCTCCCAACTCCTCATGAGACCCACATTGCATGAGGGTCGAGTGTATTGTCATGCCCGCCCCTGTGGCCCGTTCAGCAGCATTCAGGGAAAAGCTCCTTTGAAGTCTCTTGAGTCCCTGCAGACCAGACACTGTCGCTTCTTCCCCTTGACCGAACACAGAACCAGGCACAGGCTGTTGTGTGACCAGTGCTGCTCATCACATCCATCTCTCTGCAGAAACCTAGCAGGAGTTGGCGTGGTGGAAGAAGAGTATGGGGGGGGGGGGCTGCCTACCGATGACATGGGACTGTGTCTATCACAGGAAGGGAGAGCTGGGGCAGTCACATGCCTGTAGCTTCCACCAGAATGATGGGATTTGGAGATGTGGGCAGACTGGGTCTGGATAAACAGTGAACCCCCCATGAAGTCTCGCCACTCGGTCCCCGGTCCAGGCTCCAGCACTCACCCCCAGTAGCCTGGACTTGTCTGAGATGTCCAGGGACAAAGCCACGAAGTCCTTTACACAGACCCCTAGTGAGCCACTCAGTGTGGCCATCTGACCTCATGATGTAGGCACAGCTGTTCCATGGGGGTCCCCCACGGAACACACCACCTGCTCACTCAGGGGAGGACCACAGTCCAGGACTGTCTCCTGTCCTCCCCACACTGACTCCTCCTCATACCAGTAAGAGCGAATCCCCAGAAGGGGAAAAGCCCTTCCTGCTTCATAGCTGAGGGAAGGTAGGAGGTGGAGCCATGCCCTCTTCCCAGAACAGAGTAGGGTCCACTCCCGCCCTCACCTTGTCCTTTCCTGATATGTCAGGCTTCGGGAGACCAGCTGAGTCACGGCTTGTCAGAGCCTCAGTGTCTCTATCCACACAATGGGGCACCTCTCCCCACATTCTCCCTGCTTCCTGGGACGGTGACTCAGGTAAATGAGCTCACTCTCCAGAGTGAGCCATCCTGGCCCAGGCTGGTTCTTCTGGTTAGGGCTGGATGTGCATCAGGGGCTGGGGGAATGTGCTTCTCTACTGCCCCCATCCAAGCTATACCTACTGCCAGGCAGCTGAGAAGCGCCAGCTTGATGGCACAGAGCCTGGGCAGCTTTGAGTCTCCTGGATGCTGCTGCAGCCCGAAGAGGAAACTCGGGCTCCCACGCCTGCCTCAGCACCACTTTCTGATCTCTGTGTCATGCTGTGCCCTCCAAGGTCTAGGAAGGGTCTGTGACCTCCAAAGTCCTCACCCTCCAGCAGCTGGGGCTCTTGCCACTGTCCACAGCTGTCCATGCCAGCCTCCTCTGACCCCAAGCTCCCACCACATCAGGGACTCCGACCCCTCCAGTGCCTTTGTCCTTAGCTTCTACTCTCTCCACCTGGCACCGGGAGAGAGAAGGTATCTCTGGGTGCTAGTTCAAGATTCCCCCCTCCCAAATCCCTGTAGTGAATTTAGACAAGGAACCCTATTTTAATGTGTTCTGCTCCCCCCTCCCCAGTCCTTGAAGAAAATCAGGAAAGCAGCTGCCTTGTTCAGTGGCTTCCAGGTTTTACTCAAAAGAAGATGTCTAGGTACCAAGGATGTCCCTGACTCTGCTGCTCACAGCTGCCACCAGAATGAATCTGGTCTGGCACTCAGGGGGCCCTAGGTACAGGTGTGGCAGGAACTGCCCCACCTCTGTTTCCCCAGGATTCCGCCTTCCTCCATCACCTTCACTCCAGGAGTGGGATCAAGCCTACCAACCACCAGGGAGAGGGTCAATGCTCCCTGCCATGGCCCTCCACGGGGCCCCAGCTCACCCCTATCCTTAGCTGACTGCTCAACCCATGAGGAGACATTAAAACAAAGAGTTCATTCTTCCTCCTGTGCCTGCTAGGAACCTGCCTTTTCCAAGAAGCAGAGGCCTCCCACACATCACCAAAATAAGGCCATGAAAGCTCCTCTTGTGGGTTCATGAGACTCCTGCAGGAACCCGAACCCTTAACCCACCTACTCTACTCACATGGGTAGGTGTGCCTCTCCCCATCCTGGCCCACCTCCTCTTTCAAGGAAGGAGCCAGGGATTGGATGAGTCATCCCTGGGGAATCGGGCTCCCGCACCTGAGATCTTCCGGTCCATTTGTGGGTGAGACACGAGACTGCTCAGAAGGGAGGGACTATGTGACTGCCCGAGGTCATGGACTGCATACGGGACAAGAAAAGGCTACCTGGGGCCTCCCATGATGCACGGACTCTGTTCCAAGGCTGGCTTGGCCTGAACCATCATCCCACCAAGGGGAGATGACTTCAGGAGATGCAAAGTAGACTCAGCTCTCTTTACCTAGTCTAAGCTGACCAATGACCTTTATCTGCAAGAATAATGATGGGTATCCACAGATTGCTTCTCCGTACCCTACACACACACACACACACACACACACACACACACACACACACACACACACACACACACACACACCAGTCCACCCAGTGTCACCATGGTCATTTCAGTGTTCAGAACAAAGGACACAGTTCACACCAGATCAACAGGCTTTAATGGCACCAAGCAAGGGAATGCCGAGAAGAGACTGAAGCAGGAGACTGATGCTGGAGAAGGCTACAGGCTACCAAGCAGAGAGGGATGCTGCCTCTCTCTGGCTAGCCTCAAAGGAGCTGGCCAGAAGGAGCTGAGAGTCCTTAGCGGGTGGTCTGGTGGACCTGCTCCCGGGATGAGATGACCTTGCCATCCTGGACCTCTTCCACAATGGTGCGCACCTGGCGGGTGGTCACGGCTACAAAAGAAGCAGACACTCGGGCCGTGGGCAAGTGAAGAGGCTACTTTCGGCCCTCAGTCCCCTGCGTGGAAGCCAATGGCCTACCCCAGATACTGCAGGGTCTCTGTTCCCTTCTCAACAACACACTGTGCATACACTCCTTCTGGCTTCATTTGCCTCCTTTCCACCCCACACTCTGCTGGGATCTCCGTGTGAGCCGTGGTCACTCGGACAGGCTATTTGATTCTGACCCACTTTGTCCTTCAAGAGAGTGGCTATGTACTCAGTACGCTGAGTGATGCATAAAATGAGTCCTACATCGACTCCTTTGTAGTCTCCAGAGCTTGAACTATGATCCCATCTCCTCCACCACAAATGGAGATGCCCAAGACAAAACCCAGGTGCTCATCATCTCTGTTCGACTAGAAGCCTCAGACTGAAGATGATATCCCTCCCCCCTCTCCACACCCCCTGGAGACTGAGATCTGGAGGCCAGGGACAATAGCTCTACCTCCCACCAGGCTCAAGTCCCCAGAGACAAAACTGCTCTGGCCCACCTATAGGGTATCAGAAACAAAGAAGTTCTCCCCACCAGATGACATCTACTCATCACACATTGGTTACACTGTCTCCAGGGTAACCAATCCTCTCTCCATGCCCTCCTCAGACCAGTCTTTCTCCTTTGATCTTTCCTCTGAGCATCAGTTCTGAGCCCTAGCAGGTTCGTTCCTCTTATGCCTACTGAGGATTCGCCATCATTCCCTGAAACTCCTTAGGGACCCTGGCTCAGCAATGCGTTAGTGGCTTTCCTGCCCCCATGCATCCCCCTACCCCAGCCTTCAGTCACTAAGATCCTTACGTTCTTTTGGCTTGTACGACAGGCTGAAAAAAAAAATGGAGAGATTAGATGAAGTCTGAGAGTCCCTTCCTCATCCCTAAGGCCCTAACCCCTCGGCCTCTACTCACTGGGCGTCCTCTCCCTCCAGCAGGCGACGGTAGGTGGCAATCTCCTGCTCCAGCCGGGTCTTCACGTCCAGCAGGATCTTGTACTCCTGGTTCTGCTGCTCCATCTCACAGCGCAGCTGAGCCAGCTGCTCCTCCACGCTGCCGATCAGCCCCTGGATCTGAGACAGCTGCACGCAGTAGCGGTTCTCTGTCTCGGCCAGGCTGCCCTCCAGGGATGCTTTCTGCAAGAAAGCAGGAGATGGTCAGTGAGATTGGCAGAGCTGCCTCCCAGGGGCTGGACCCATCCCGGCGCATAGCAGCAGCATCCTTACCATGCTGAGCTGGGACTGCAGCTCAATCTCCAGGGCCTGCATGGTGCGTCGGAGCTCAGAGATCTCGCTCTTGCCACTCTGCACCAGCTCGCTGTTGGTGGCCACCTCGCGGTTCAGCTCCTCGGTCTACAGACAGGACACAGGAACAGTGTATAAGCCTGGACCGTTCCCCAAGTCAGATGCTTCATGGTCCCCCACATGCTCAGCCCAGAGGCCAGACAGGCACTTGGATCTATTCACAAGCGACCCCTCAGTGGCTGTGACTACCTTCCTGAACCCCCACCCCGAGCCTGTATCAGTCTTGTCCCCAAGCTCCCCACTTCCCAACCCCTGAAACATGCTCACTGAAACATTATGGTTAATCTCTACAAGTAGGAGGCAACAGAACAAGACATTTAAGAGCCAGCCAGGACTTGTAGCCCAGCTCCTGGTACTGATCTCTGGCTTCTTAAGTGAAGGTGGAAATTCCCAAGGTCTTTACCCTTCTCCCTTGATTCCACGAGGTACCTCCCACTCATCCCCCAGATGACTGACTAGATTACACCAGCTCTGTTGATGCAACGCACTCCTGACTCTGTAGAATCTGCAGAGTCGGACCAGGGTAGGGCATCCCTAAGATGGCATGCTGCTGTTGGGGCTCAGGCCCCTGCGGCCTGTCTGGACGGCAACAGCTCTCACCTTGCTGAAGAACCAGTCTTCCGCATCCTTCCGGTTCTTCTCCGCCATCTTCTCGTACTGATCACGCATCTCTGACAGGATGCGGCTCAGGTCCACACCAGGAGCTGCATCCATCTCCACATTGATTTCACCGCCAACCTGGCCTCTCAGAGAGTTCATCTCCTATGAGAGGAGGGGATGAAGGTGTGGTCTGCTGGGCCAGTGTTGGTCCCATATTCCCAAGCCTTCCTAGCCCACATCTAGATCTGACCCCCTTCTCCAGGACCTTTTGATCTGCCCAGCCTCTTCCCTCTGACCCTCCTATGGATGTGTGTGTGTGTGTGTGTGTGTGTGTGTGTGTGTGTGTGTGTGTGTGTGTGTTCATTCTGCATGGACTCTACCCCTACCATCAGACTGTGCCTCCCCCATTAGACTAAGGGCTCTCCAGGGACCTCTGATTCTAGGTCTTTGCCCCCCAAAACTTTCCTTCCAGTCTCCAAATGCCTGTGTGGAGCCCAGGTTCAAAAGTTGGAACTAACACAAGCATTTGAGCATCTCCCTCCTCTACTGTCATTGTGAGCAAGGCAAGGACAGGAGAGAAGGCCTCTACGAGGCCTGGGAGGTCCCTAAGGTGCTGGGATGCACAGAAGCCCTGGACCACAGGAGCCAGGGCTCAACAGAAACGGCAACCCTACAGGATGACTACACCCAACAAGACCTCTCTCCCACGCCCTCAACTGCAACCCAGCCCCAGGGCTCTGCCACCCACTCCTCGTCTGCTCTGACCTGCTGACCCTGCCCCCTCACCTCCTCGTGGTTCTTCTTCAGGTAGGCCAGCTCCTCCTTGAGATTCTCGATCTGCATCTCCAAGTCTGCTCTGGCCAGGGTCAGCTCATCCAGCACACGGCGCAGGCCATTGATGTCAGCCTCCACGCTCATGCGCAGGGCCTGCTCCGTCTCAAACCTGCAGTGAGAGAGAACCAGAGACTTCCAGCCAGGCTACTCTAACACACTGGTCCTTGCGTTATCCCTGCCTCCCCTGTGCCCAGAGCTGGAAGGACATATGAGGGAGAATCAGAGAGTGAAATGGAAGTCAGTTGCAACCCTGAGGGACCACCACAAGGCCAGACCCCCATGCCCATGGGCTTCCTGACTGCTCCTCTCCCAACCCTCTTCAGAAGTTGCTGTCTTTGCTCATCCAACTAAAAGGTCAGCTCCCAGCTCCCAGGACCTCTCTCTCCTGTCTTCTGGGAAGTCAAGATGAGGAAAGGCACCCCAGATTCCCCCCTCAGCTTCTAACCCTCAAATTGGGACTCACTTGGTGCGGAAGTCATCAGCTGCCAGCCGGGCATTGTCAATCTGAAGCAGGATGCTGGCATTATCCACAGTGGCCACAAGGATCTGGAAAGATGGCGAACCATTGGGTCATTGAGTTTAGGGGAGCTCAACCCAGGCCCATGTTCTGAGCCAGGCTTCCTGACTGGAGGCCCAGATTCACTGCCTTCAGAGAAAACCCTTCTTCCTGCCAGACACTGCCTACGCAGTGTTGCCCTTGTTGGCAGAGGTGGGCAAATGGGAGTCCAATGAGCTGAAACCTGACCCTAGTGCTTGCCTGCTCACGCAGACCCTCCTCACATGCCAGTCTCAGCCTGAGACCTGAAGAGGCCTCGGGCTGGGAGGGGGACAGAGCGAGAGAACGTCAGGATAGCCTCAGGACAAAAGCTGCCCCTGAACCCCAGAAAGCATGGAGAGGCTGTGAGGAACCCCCTATTTTCCTATACCCCAGAAGGCATCACTGTGAGTCTCCCTAAAAAGGTGCCTAGAGGAGCCCTAGCCCGTGGTAATTCTACACCGGAAATCACTAGCCCTGGTAAATCTGGGCTCTGGTCCTCAGCCCTACCTTGGAGATTGGTGAGCCACCACTTGAGGGACAAAGAGAACACAGGAAAGCCAAGGAAGCCAGGAAAGAAAAATCCCCTAAAACATCTCCCATGAGAGTCTCGCGCCCCACCCCCCTCCTGCTTCCTCTCTTGGGATTGCTACGGAGCATGCTCTCAGACCCCACCATCGAAAACCCTCCTCCCTGGGACACTCACAAATCCAGCTCCACTCTGTGGAACCAATCCTCCACCTGTGCCCTCGTGGCCTAGACATCATTGACACGAGGCCTCAGGACTGCCCAGGGAGGAAAGAGACACTCCAAAGGGGCCCCGTGATGCCAGCTTGTTCCCAGCCCAGCCAGTTGCCCCCACAAAGGGAGGTTGTGGGTCACACAAGCTCCTAGAAGCCAAACCAGAGCCTGGCTGCCCTGTGGCAGCCCCCATGGACCCCAGGCCTTGATGAGGGCAGGAGGTGGGTGGTTTAGGACCCTCCTGCCCGCATCCCTACCTTGTTCTTCAGATCCTCGATGGTGTGGTAGTAGGAGCTGTAGTCACGGGCCGGCCCTGGGGCCTGCTTCTGGTACCAGTCTCGGATCTTCACCTCCAGCTCCGTGTTGGCCTCCTCCAGGGCACGCACCTTGTCCAGGTAGGAGGCCAGGCGGTCGTTGAGGTTCTGCATGGTGGCCTTCTCGCCTCCGGCCAGAAGCCCATCAACACCCCCGAAGCTGCCTCCATAGCCGCTGCCAGTACCAAAGCTGTAGCAGCTGGAGTAGCTATTGCTCCCGAGGGCACTGGCCAGGCCACTAGCTGACCCCAGCCTGCAGGAGCCGGCACCCAGGCTGCCAGACAGTCGGCAGGAGGTGCGGGATGAACCGCCCCCGAGGCCGGAGGAGCCCTTGATGGAGCTGGAGGAGGTGAACTGGCGGATGGTGGTGGTCATGGTGGCAGCGGGCAGCGGATGTGGAGCTGGAGGGCTTGGGAGGAAGAGAGGCGCCAAGGTGCGTGCTGCGCTGGGGCTCGCCCGCTTCCTTTATAGGGCAGCCAGTGGGCGTAGCGATTACAACAGCTTCTCTGCTGTTTCCATTCCCCTGGGTTTTCATCACCACTGGCCACCCGCCAGCTCCCAGGTGGCGGCTACGGGCCCCCTCCCCTCCCACCGCCGGGGCTCTGCCTCATTTCACCAAGCCCTGTGCTGGGTGTCATGATCGAGTGTGTGTGTCTGTCTCTGGTCTCAGGCCTGTCACCTGTGATTCAGGCAGGCCCTCCAGCTACTCTTTCCCATGACCTAATACGGACAAGAGGAGCTGGCGACGTCACCTCCACTCAGCCCTCCCAGGCAGCTGCCACCCCAGCTTGATGGGAAAAATGAAGTGGGGAGTTAGGCAGCCCCACACACACCTAAGGTGGATTCCCTTCTCCACATGCCACCCCACACATGTGAAAAGCCTGGAGCTGGGAACTGGGGATGGGTCAGGAAGACTGGTTACCCATCCTGACTTGAGATCTGGGTTTAAACCCACCATGCCCCCACCACACAACACAGAAACTACCTCAAGACTCCAGTTGCCAACCCAGGCAGGAAACCGGAGCTTAGCAAGGAATGCAGCATCCAAACAGGCCCAGCTCACTCAAGAAGTGGGCTGGCCTCCTGCTCTTCGCTTAACTCCAGCACCCCCAACACCCCTCTAAGCAACCCCAACATCCAGGGACACATCCTGGGATGAGCACCCCCCCCCGCCCCCGGCCAGTTTTCTGAATCGGTTCCCATCCCTGGGTCCCCTAGGAAGCTTAGACTTCTCTTCCAGACCTTTCCTGTCTTCCTTCATCATACAGTACAACTTCCAGGACCAGGTGGGTGGAATAGAGGTCAGCTAAAAGCTCAGGAGGAAGCAGAGCAATGTATGGGAAGGATGCCTTATTAAAGGAAATCTGTGGAACCATGAAGAGCTTGTCCCCTTCCATATTCCTTACCCTCTTCTCTATCCTGAGAGATCTCAGAGGAGGATGGGACAACTCAGGCCCCAGCCAGGAGAAAAACTAAAAGATCTTCCTTCGAAATACTCTTACCCCACCCTACCCCTGCCGGGTTCCCCACGACGAAAACCACAACATGGTTCCCGAGGGTGGGCCACAGGACCCACACCATGGCTCCATCTAGCCCCACCTACTATCCTAAGCCCAGCCCTAGGTCCTAGGGTCCTGGGAGGCCTGCTGGGCGGAATGTGGTCGTGTTTCAGACTGCCGATGGGTTCCTCCTCCCAGACAGGTCTAGACAGCCCCCATCAGCAGCTGGGAGAGATTTCCCCAGTGGCCCAGGAGCTGCCAAGCCACCAAAGCAAACAGGATGCCCCCCACACTCACACAGCAAGGCTGCCCCACCCCACACACACCCCCAGGGAGCCAGGTAGAGCCGGTCTGGCTTCTTGGGCTGTCTCTGAGACTGCCAGGCTGCCACCCCCTCATCCGTCAAGGCCCTCGACCACTCTGGGAAAGTCACCTTTCCCAGCCAGACCCCTGAACCTTTGTTTTAATGCAGGTGTCCTCTAACGGGTGTGGTACCCAGAAAGTCTGCAGGCCCTCCCAGGGACCAGCACTGGAGACAGCCCCAGAGGCAGATTCTTAGAAACAGGATGCTCCATACCTCCACCCTCAATCCTTCCTCCTCCTCCCCTCTTGACTTCCAAGGCACCCCAGCCCTGGATGGAGTGGGCAGAGCAAGTAGGTATGCGACAAGTGATACCAGACGCTTAGTATCCCCAGCCCCTCAGCCCACGCTGCCCGAGCTGATGACGGGACAAATGAGGAGTTCAAGACCAGGCTTCTTCATGGCTTTATTAGCAGCTCCTGCGGTAAACCCAAGGGGCCCCTCTGTAAAGGGCAGCACAAGGCAGATGCAGAAGATAATGGATAGCTCACGGGAGCTCAGGCATGGCAGTAGATGCAGGGAGCTGCAGCCTCAGCCCCTGAGGCTGGGCTGTCACGTGCAGAAAGGGTCCTCAGTGGGTAGAGCGGTGCACCTGCTCTCGGGAGGAGACCACCTTGCCATCCTGGACTTCTTCCACGATGGTGCGCACCTGGCGGCTGGTCACCATGGCTGAAGATGGCAGGGATTGAGGGGTCACAGGGAGCCTCAGGCAGGAGCCCCTACCAAACCTGCCACCTGGCCTCTAGCACCCTTAATCTCCCCTAGCGTCCCATACACAAGACAGGATAGACTCTTACCTTCTCTGGAAGGTTGGGAGGCCAAGGATGAGGAGTATTGAGTAGCCAGGCTGCGGGGAGAGGAGACCCGTCAGCCCAGAGGTATCACAAGCCAGCAGGGCCCTGGGAACACTGCTGGGAAGGATCAGCAGCTGGGGAGGCCCCGAAAGCGTGAGAGGGATCCCACAAATTGGGAAATCACGGCTAGGAGTTCACAGAGAACAACACAAACCTAGGATCAAATGCCATAGGCTCCTCAAAGCAGGAGGGAGAAAAGAAGTCGCCCAAGGCATGTTGTGGCTATATTGTGGCTACTAAACCAGGGTTTACAAGGAGACGCTGCACAAGTGGATTTTCCATATCCTGAAGGGCCCAATAAGACTCCGTTTAAAGCAGGAGAGTGACTAGACTGTAGATAAAGTTGACCATTATTGGGAAACAAACGTGTATGACTAAGCCTGTAGACCCCAGGACACTCTTGGCTTCCCATGGAGACTTTGATCAACATTTCCAGCTCCAAATCAAGGTGTCATTTGCCCTGTACCTCACCTCATCCTGGCTAATGATGTCACCAACCACAGGCGACCAGTCATCCAAACCAGAAACCCGGGGTCATTGCTTCTGACCCCTCAGCATTTATTGAGTAAAAACTCTGAGCCATGCTCATACACACACACTCGGGCATCCCATCCTGCTGTCTACACAGCCCCCACCCCTAGCTCTCGAGACTCTTGTCAGCTGGCCAGACACCCTGTCCTAGCCTCCTGATGTCTCCCCTCTTCCACCCAAGCCCATGTCTTCCTCTATAGCCAACGCAAATATTCCCAAAGATCTGGGCGAATGTTCTTCTGCTCAGCGTCACTCCGTGGCTCCCCATGGCCCACAAGACCTGGCCCACATGCTGTCTGTGGACACTTGATGACAATCCTCACGGTCAGGACCGCTCCCTTTCTGTTTTGCCCCTGCATACTTCTGCATTCACATCTAACTGTTGACATCCCTGGGACAAAGCAGTGTCCGGCCCAGCCTGGTAGGTGCCTAGACCTCCCACTCACTGGGCGTCCTCTCCCTCCAGCAGGCGGCGGTAAGTGGCGATCTCCTGCTCCAGCCGGGTCTTCACGTCCAGCAGCACCTGGTACTCATGGTTCTGCCTTTCCATGTCACAGCGTAGCTCACACAGCTGCTGTTCCACGCTGCTAATGAGACCCTGCAGCTGTGCCAGCTGTGCCCCATAGCGTGCCTCTGTCTCTGCCAGGCTGTTCTCCAGTGATGCTTTCTGTGGCCCAAGGGACAGATAGACAGTGAGACAAGAGCTGGGCCCTTCCCCCACTGACACCCAGAGAGCGGTCCCACCTGGGTGGCTTATATGTGTTTCCAAGACAGTTGGACAGTAACTAGGGCCAGAGGAGCCCATGGGATGGGCCGAACAGATTGTTTCTGGTTCTCCCAGTGGGGGTTCTATGTGGCAAGGCTCAGCAGAAGTGACAGGAACCAGGCAGGACAGGGATGGTGGCCCACCATGCTGAGCTGGGACTGCAGCTCAATCTCCAGGTTCTGGACAGAACGGCGGAGCTCCGTGATCTCCGTCCGGCTGCTCTGCAGGGCCTCCGTGTTAGTGGCCACCTCACGGTTCAGCTCCTCCGTCTGGAAGGCAGGGTGAGCACAGGGGTTAAAGGGGGCTTTCAGAGGGGACAGAGAACAGAGGCTATCCCTCAGCCCTATCCTCCCAGAGCTCCCCCTCCCTGGCCCCAGAGGAGCTCATAGGCACCTGCATCCAGAGCCCCTCTGTGCCCCCAAGGAACGAGTGCAGTAGATCTAGCCCCTGCAAAGGACCCTGCTGAACCACAACACCTCAAAGCAGACACTGGAGATGATTGATGTGCTAGTGACTGCCCTCACAACCCACAGATGTTCATTCAGTAGGTGTTTATCCCAGGCTTGACCTACATATCCAAGCACACACATGCAGCAAACACCTGTGGTGGGTGGAGCCCGAGCCAGGTTGGGTGGTCTGGATCGGTTCCCCAGGCCACAGCCGTACAGGAAGAGCCTCGTGTGTCTGGGCTTCTCCCGGGCCTCACATTTACTTTAAAGCCTGAGCACTGGTCCGAGTGGTTTCCAAAGAGTCTGAGAGTGACCCAGGCCATGCTGACAGGTAGCATGTGCAGCAGTCACACGAGAGCACACCTGCCCCACACGGCCACCCACCTTGGTGAAGAACCAGTCCTCGGCATCCTTCCGGTTCTTCTCCGCCATCTTCTCGTACTGGTCTCGCATCTCATTCAGGATGCGGCTCAGGTCCACACCCGGGGCCGCGTCCATCTCCACACTGACGTCCCCGCCCACCTGGCCACGAAGGGCATTCATTTCCTGGGCAGAAAGGACAGCAGGAGATCACCCAAGGCCACCCTGGAAAGAGATCCTGGTCCTCAGGGAAACAAGGAGACAGCCAGGCCAGCAACTCCCCTGGAAAGCTGCAGACAGAGGACTTGCCTCCTACTCAAAGGGCTGTGGATTCCATCGGTCTCCCCCGACACATGATGGCACAAGGGTGCCTACAGCCTACTCTTCAGTTTGTGTGAAATAAGAGAAAAATAGTTCTCGGGTGAGGGGAAGGGAAGAGAAGGCAACCTCACCCTACTTCCTGACCCCTGGCCTTGTCGCTTAGCCATCAACCCTACAGCATGAGCAAGGGGTTGGCCAGCCTATGGCGGCATCGGTCCAAGCCAGACCCTGTTAAGCAACGCTGGTCTGGTGGAGAGAAGCAATTTTGCACTTGGCCTCAAAGTTAAGGGAAGCCCTTTCCAGGTGCCCTGCACTTGGGAATCAGGCTCCCCCAGCCCAGGACAGGCCGTGTTGAGGTGGGAAGGAAGCCACCAAGGCAGGACTAGATGGCTGCTTGAGTCCAAGTCGGGTCTTAGACTTCCAGCCTTGAACTGCGCTCTGGGGACAGATAACTCAGAAGTCTCCAGCAAAAGGAGTCAGGG